TTACGATAATATCTAAATTATTTCAAATATTCTGAATTCTGTCTATCTTATCAAACTACCGATCATCGTCAGAATACATACACGTACTCCGAGTCTTATTTATCGCGCCACTTTAAATTCCAGCCGGTTAAGAAACTTTTCCCAAGACAGATGGAATTTATTCCAACGATGCGTTTCATCGCGAACACAATTTCATAATCCCATTACAAAATTATTCAGAGTTGTTTTATCGAACTCGCAAATCGTCTGTCGCGGAAAAAGACGGTCCAAAGCTGCGAAAGTTTTTCCGTCACAGCGTGCAAACCAACACAAAACAAAACGGAAGTTCGATAACAACTCGGCGTTCTTATTTTCCGCGGTCCCATCGATCATCAATAATTCATCGCTTGTAATCAAATTCCCATTGGGAACCGCGGCTTTTTTTGTCACTCCCCCGTGCATCGGGGTTCGTGGAAATCGTACAGAATTCGAGAGACGGGAAGAAATTGACAGGAAGCGAGGGTGGTGACGCGAGACAAGCACCGTCAAGAATTTCTCGATGCTCGTGTTTGCGCGATTTTATTCCTCGTGGGTACCGTAATTCCGTGACCGGATATCCCGACTTTCGGTTACCTTTTGTGCGGGGCCGCCATCGACGAATCGCCGCGGCGCGCTGGGTTCAACGTGAAAACGCGAAAGGCTCAGCAGCCTTTTGTGCCCTGCGAGAAGCTTTTTACTTTACCGCGAGGAACCGAGCGTTCCAGGATCGACGACCACCCTCTCCCACCGATGGCCACGGAGAACATTTTACTCTTTTTTATTTAGTCGTTGACGCGTCCTGAAAAGCAATGCCGAAAAGAAATTATATTAACCGGCTGACCACTATACGATTCGAAACTTATTCCCAATGTACAAATTAAATATAACTAACACTTTTGTCGATTTATAGTAGCGGATGACAAGATTCTTGAATTTGTTAATATTATTCGCTTCGATGATTATGTGAAAATTATTTACTCATATGCATTTAGGCTGTTTGGTTGTCACGCCAATTCGGTGAGATTCTCAACTGGCCGCCATCCATGAGAAGAGGACGCTAAAATCACCTCTCAATTTTTAGGTCGGTACGACGGTAAATTTGGGCCACGAAAGTTCATAAGGTGTAAAGTCTACTCGTATATGTACCTTGTCTGTGGTTTCATTGTACCAAGCATAGTGCTGCGAACGTTGCAGAATTAAATTTATTAACATGGTGCGTGCAGATGTATGGTACGCGTAACCTATTTGGAATTCTCGTATTGTATGCTTATATTAAACAAGTTCCGATATCGGAGATAGAAACCCTAATAATAGGGTGGATATGCGAACGTACGAACTAGGAATATGAAATTCGCTTCCATTAACATCGCTTGAGAATGCGTGAACATTGTATTTAGAATGTTTAATGGAACTGTCAATATACATACAGTGCGCTGCAAAATGTGGGAGGCGGTTGATTTAATTAAAAGAAATTTGTCGATATAAAATGGTCTAAACGTAATCAACAATTCTTGTCGATTCCAAACATTCTAGGAAGTACGTTATCATCGATTTACTTTTTGACTCATAAAATATAAGAAATTATTTGAAGAATTATTATTAATTAAATTATTCGGGGGTCTCTACGTTAAAAATGTTCTTTTGTACCGTCCTCCCTCGTTTAGACTGCGATTCATAAGCAGCTCATCTTCGGGCGTGTTCGAATATGCTTTAGAAAATGGTAACCCGCAACAGGCATCGATGGTTCCATTTGCGATGTGCCTGCAGAAACCGCGAAATGGCAAACCGTGCGATTCAAGATTATTCCAGTCGACGCGATAGGGTGAGCAACGCTACTTAGCGACTCGAAACTTCTTCCTCGATAACGGCGGTCACAAAGTTCGATTGAATTTTTCTTTCATCCATGAAAGGTTAACGCTAATCTAAAACTACTTAATCGATTATTTATTCATTTAATTTTTGTCGAATGCGAATTCTATTGTGGAAGCTGATGGAATATGCATTGTTTAAGGATAATAAAAGGAACGTTAGTCGTTTGAAAATTACCACAAAATTAGAAATTAAAACTTACGTGACTTATCCACACCACCGTAGAGATATCTTTTTTGAGGATCTAGAAATATTAAAAAAATAACTCGAGGATGGGTATTTTCAGAGTAAGAGAAATGCTCGAAAGTTATGGTAGTTTGTTCAGTCGGACGGTTTGAAATTAATTACACATTCCAGCTAAATTATTTCAGATTCCTAACACCGTGATAAAACACTTTTTGTTGCTTTCTGCACCTTGATGTTTCGATGATACGAAACGCCACGGCTTCCGCAAACTTCAAGGGTGAAGAACTTGAACCGTGCAGCGTCGTCTCAGACACCTTCAAGGAGACTCCCACTTCGTTGGTGATTTCCGGCAAAGTACAGCCTCTCCTGCTGTAATTAGAAGTGCCAAACATCGTAGATGCATAATCACATTGTCGGGTTACCGATAATCCCAGCTTTTAAAACAAGAAAATTAGTAGCCTCGAATATCTAAAATTACGTGTTTGTAGTTTAATATAATTTTGGTACATTTTCTTCGAAGGATATACATAAATAGATATCCATAACTGACACTTTAGCTTAATTAATTCTATTAAACTGTTTGCGTACAATGCTCGATAACTCGTTTGCTTCTTGTTTTTCTTATTGGCAAATTAATAGGATAATAATCTTATCCGAATTTATCGAGTAATCGATTGTATGAATTATTGACGCCATTAGATGTTAACTGTAATCGAACATTCTATAAACGGGCTAGCGTCTCTTGAAATAAATAAATACCGATTCGGTGAAATGACCGAGTGAAGAAATTGTACCGTGGGAATGGATTGGAAGACAAAAGATAGAAGGAAGTCTCAAGTGTCTCTGATTTCACTTTGACTGAATACCGTCGAGGCATTAACATTCGCAGCGTACATTCAATCAGAACTCGAAGAACACTCGTTGTCAGGGATACGTAATAACACCTATTACCGTCTACACGTGCTTCCTTTGTTTAGCGTTCCTCGTGAGCACGAGCCAGCGAATATCGCGGACGTGGAGGAGTTTCGCCGCGAAGAGTCGAGGGATGGAGGTAGCGGGTTCGCGACACAATAAACCATTCCACGGAAGGCAAAACACAAGCCACGGCGCCGCTATAACCGAAGCCCAACGTGCTGCTTCATTATGCGGTGCGACGTGGCAAAGTGCCAAGGCCTTTGATAAAGGGGGTGGCTACGTCCTACCAGATTCTCGCTCCGTTCCGCCGCCTCCGCATTTCCGCCCTTTCCTCGTAACATGGGGCTGCTGTCCACCCTCTGACGCACATCCTTGACACGCTCCCTTCGAGTTCGGAGAAAGAACGGAAAGCTGCTGGGGAAACACGTTCCCAATGTACCTATGCTCCGCCGCGGCGCCGCGGCGCCGCGCGACGCGACGCGACGCGACGCGACGCGACGTTCTCTGCTGCTATTCGACCTGGCTTCCGATCGAAACGGGGGTGCTCGCTGCTTTCTTGAAACGCGCACAGTTTAAGCAGATTTAACTTCCTGGAACGTGGAAAAGCAGCGTGGAAACTGGAAGGCTGTTGCACGAGCTGATTAGCCGTTTGTCGAGAACCGCTACGTGGAATTGGGTTTAAGCTACGAACGTGACCGTTCTGTTGTTTTTTCGACCTACAGTCACCGGATAAAGGCAAACAGGATGTAACTATGAATATTGTTGGTGGTTACCGGTGACTGGTACTAGGAAAATATCAACAATGCTACAAAGTAGCATGTATAGCAGGTGTTGAGAAATGTACTCGAGTGTTGATAATTACGAAGTTGTAGGTGACGCGAGACTCGTACGACAATAGCCACTTGACCAAGCCACTTAACTAATAAGAAAGCAGAAGTGAATTCGCGTGATTTTTGCGTAAATAAGATACGTAAATAAGATACGTAAATAAGATACGTATCGTAGATCGACGAGTAAAGTATCCCTGTTTTGATTATCATGATGATCATCGTACATTTTTCATAGAAAAAGTTCAATTATACAAGAGAAATGAGAGGTCATTGATGAAATCGCTTTTATCGTAAACCATACACGATAATTTTAATTGGAATAGAAATACACGATATCGATTAATTAAAATCCGACATGAATTTTTACTTAACCGCAAGAACATTTAAATTCAATTTTATAAGAGAATCTTAAAAACAAATTCCCGTAATATGAGTAAAACGATTTTTATCCTACAAATTATTCCTGAAAATTACACCTTCTTCCGTTTTACCCAGTTTTCTTTTAAACTTGAAATAAATTATTTGCTGTTTTTGCTCAAGTTAAAGAATGTAATAATAGGAATCGCGACTAGACAGATTCGACAGATTCGTTTGATGGAATTTTCGATTAAACAAGCCTGGCTGTTCGTCCGTATATCTATATACTATGTATAAATGTAACAATGTCGCATTATATGTATACGTTTAGCGTACAATACGGTTGTAGGAGCTACGATAAGGGTAATTTTGATTGTAGCCCATGCGGCACGATAATTGGGAAATAAAGCCCAGCTTAAAGCTATCTTCTAGTCCGATCATATGTCCAAGTAACACGTTAATGCGTTCAATTCTCGTAATTTCGAACCCCGTTATCGTTTCGCGATACACGTGAAATTGTCAGATAGATTTTTAATTAGTTGTTTATAGCCGCATAAACCACTCGAATGGGTCATTAGGGATTTAGTAGTAATTATTGATATCAAGAAATAAAATATGGAATGAAAGGAAGGGCATCTTATTCGGAAAACGAAAGTTTATCGTACCTTCGCCTATTTTTCTGTCTCCCTTATATAACCGTCGAGTCGAATGTTTCGCGGAGATTACCTGTCATTTGTTACGTGTTATCTATATATTTGATAACATACGGTAGTTAAGTATATATGACACGTACGATTAAAACAGTGTCATAATTTCTAAGCAGATATGTTCGACACAGTGTCGCTGAGATTCTGCGTTTTCCTCTTCCTTGCAACGTGAGTATATTTCGTATAACAAAGAACAATATAGAAATAAAATGTTTCGAGTCTCATAGTTTACTATTATTTAAATATGTTCAAATTACTATGTAAGTGGTTCTCCTACACTCAAATTTGACCGTGTACCGGAGATTCATGTAGAATTACTTTAACCCGAACTGTTGCTCATTCTACTCCCAAGTTTCTCTAAACTTGTCCTTTCTAGCGCCGCAAATGGCGAATTTGCAAAGAGCCATGAGGAATATCCAAGGTTTCCACCAAACTTCGTTCTGGGAGTTGCGACAGCCGCATACCAAATAGAGGGAGCTTGGAACGTGAGCGGTAGGTTCCTTAAATTCAAGTTTCCTGCTTTCGAACTGCAAACTTTTCTAATGTTCCCCCTCGCGTCTCGAAAATGCAGATAAAGGAGAAAGTATTTGGGATCGATTCAGTCATTACAACGATGGCCGTATCTTTAACAATGACACCGGCGACGTCGCTTCAAACTCTTATTACCAGTATAAGGAGGATGTAGCGCTCATCAAGAAACTTGGGGTAAATAAGCTTTGATGCGGTATACATAGTTGTAAATATAATGTAAATTACAATTCGATTCGGTGGTATAATTTTGTAGAAAGGCGTGTAGGTGAATGAATTTTAAAAAATTAATCAAGATAGGTATAATTCGTCGAGGTAATAGCAATAAATTCAGCGACGTAGTGAAATTCTCTATTGTTTGTCAACAGTTCACGTCATACAGATTCTCCGTGAGTTGGCCCAGAATTTTACCGACAGGATTCGCGAATAATGTTAGTCAAGATGGCGTTAATTATTATCACAACCTCATCGACGAGCTATTGGCAAACGATATCGAGCCACTGTTGACGATATATCACTGGGATCATCCTCAAGTTTTGGAGGATGCAGGTGGCTGGTTGAGTTCGGAAATGGTTGATTGGTTCGGTGATTTCGCGAGGGTCGTGTACAGAGAGTACGGTGCAAAGGTGAAACGATTCATTCCGATAAACGAGCCCACCTCTATATGCATAAATGGCTACACCACCGGGATCGATGCACCCGGGAAAAAATTGCACGGTATTGGAGAGTACCTGTGCATCCACAACACAATAAAGGCACACGCGAGGGCTTACAGAATATACGAGAATGAGTTCAAATCTAAGCAGCGAGGCCAAGTCGGATACATGTACAGCGCGTTCGCTTTCATGCCCGAAGATCCTAACGACGTGTTGACAGCAGAGATTGCTTTTGAATTCAACGCTGGTTGGACTTTGAATCCGATCTATTCTCATAACGGTGATTATCCAGAACTCGTGAAGAGTATAGTGGCCGAGAAGAGCAAACAACAGGGTTACACGAAATCTCGTTTGCCGGAGTTTGAGCCCGAATGGATCGAGTACATACGGTAACGAGCAATTAAAGTGTCGTTTAAAAAGACAATTTAATCTCTTATATTTGTCTTGCTTTGTTTTAAATCGAGCGTTGTTATTTTCGTATCAGTGGAGCCTCGGACTTTTTGGCGGTAAATCATTATACCACCAGGCTAGTTAAACCGGGACAGTCAGGAATAGTTCCGTCTCATGAAAACGATCAATCCGTCGTACAATTCATCGATAGTTCTTGGAAAAAGGCAGCATCAGACTGGTTGGAGGTGAATATCACGAGAATTGTTTTTTTTTTTATGGTTCAAATCTAAGGGTAGATATTTCCAAGATCATGATTAAACCTAATATAGAGTTTCGCAAGAGTGGTCTATTTATTTTTTGTAATCATCAATCAGACACGTAAGACAATTAATATGTACTTGAACTGTATAGAATGATAATGCGTGATCGTATTTAATAGGTTGTACCCAAAGGTTTCCGATATATTCTTGGGGAATTGGCAAGTAAATATGGAAATCCACCAATGTACGTTACCGAAAATGGTTTCTCTGATACTGGACTGCTCCACGATTTCGATAGAATTAAGTATTTTTATGACTATCTGAAAGAGATGCTTTTAGCCATCTACGTTGACGGTGTTAACGTTCAAGGATATTATCTGTGGTCGATCATCGATAATTTCGAATGGAGACGGGGTTATAGGTAATTTATTTGTCGATCTAAAATAATTATTTGTACAGCAACGCGTAAACGATAATAACGCGAGTTTGGGTAGATATAAAATTGAAGGAATTATTTTGTTAATGTTAATATTTGAATTCGCAGCGAAAAATTTGGCATCGTGTCTGTCGACTTCAACCACGTAAACAAAACACGTACCTTGAAGGATTCTGCTGTTTGGTGGCAAACGGTTTTAGCCGAGAGAAACCTTGTACCTGCAGAATAACCAACTAATTCAATCTGTCAGTCATTGACCATAATACCAGTTACTCGAAGATTCTTGTTCCTCCTATTTCAACTGTATCTGAAATATTTTGTACGCTTTTACATATGTACTTGAGCAAACATTCATACATCTATAATATATAAATTTTAAAATAAATGTGTTTAAGAAGCGTTATTCGATGTTGTATCTGCATGTTGCATTTGAATCATTGTCCTCGCACGATGGAGTAATCTTTCTTCAGATCCCACGTTACGAGCATCCAACGCGTAATAGTTTTCTATCTATCCAGAGAGGGGTTATTCGCTGATCCACTTTCTTCGAAAACTGTCGTAAACCTGCGCCTTTTGGAGTATTATGGCAAACGTACAACGTGTCTCGTATCGGAATATCGAGAAACAAACCACCGAATAAAAGGAAGGACGACGTTTTCGCGAAAGAAACAAACTTTTACGCGCCTCCCCGAATTTTTCTATCCTGTTTAGTATAACCGGGAACCGAATGTTTCACGGAGATTACCTGTCAAGGCTTGGATCCAGATTACCTGTAGCCGTTTTCCGGCAGTAAGATTTCTTCTGCGAGCTCAGGAGCGCGAGAAAGAATACCTTTGCCATAGAACACCCCTTAAACGCGCCCGTTTCTGTTCTTCTTCTCTCCAAATTTCCCTTTTCTGCGTTGTTGCGAACGCTTTGACTTTGCCACCCTGTAAATAAAGCTGACAGCGATGGGAACGCTAAGCAGAAAACGTCATTATCTTGTATCCGTCAGAGTGGGATGAAGTTTAAGAAGGTTATCGGGATGGAGTCCCGAAGATAAATTACTCATAAATGGTAAACAAATATGATTTCACTCTTTGGTCTAAATACGGATACGTTAATTTGACATGGAACTGCAATGTATTCAGCTCGTACCGAAAGTTTCCGCAGTTTTGAATTGTTCGTTCTACACAAACATAATTTAATATTTAATATTGAAAATTGAGATCGCTGAAATTAATAAACTCTTTAAATCGGATAGGATCATTTTTATTTTTTACCACCGGATACAATATTCGTATCGGATATTTTAACAGATTACAAGCGTGAATATGACATTAGATATTTAAAGCTGAGGTTTCGTAATAATAAAAATATGTAATATCAAACCCAAATATCACAAAAATTACAGAAACTTCCACGATGTGCCAGAATAAGAAGGCAATATTTTTAATCAGACGATAAGAGGATGGTATAGTTTTTGTGAAATTTTGATAATGCAAGCAATTACTGCCTAATCAAGAAACCGTGACGGTAAATTCGAAAAAACACAGAGTATTGCGTACAACTTCACATACACCGTCTTCGTCATAAATGGGCCCTGAGAGTGAAACTGTAGACTTGAGAACTGATCTGTTCAAGTAACTTTGCTCGACTAAAAATTTTGTGGATTGATAATCTTTCTCGTTGAACCGATCATGTTTCTTTTTCTTGTTTTACATCTTCAGAGTGACTTTCCGAGGGGAGACAGTATCAGATTCATTCTTATCTTAGCGCTATGACGGCGAATTAAATTATCATGTAACTAGCGACCACTCGAAGCGCAAAGAAAACAGTCGCTTCTCAAAATCAATCTTCGAGTCATCGAGAGTCGAAAGGCATCAATATATGTATATTTTTGCTTTATTCGAGGATCCGTCGTTTCTTTTAGGAAAAGTTCCTGACGGAACGCAGTTTTGACTATTTCACGAATAAATGGCGGTAAATGATACGTCCGTTCGAATTGCGGAAGTATTTGTAAATTAATCATGGTTACAAAAAATTATACGCGATTAGATATCATGTTAATAAGAGACATCTTTCAAACTGTATTATCAACTGATTTGATAACATATGGATCAGAAATATATAAATAACTCCAACGATCGTAACTATTTTCACAGTTCCTCAGTCAACATGTTCGTCACGCTATCGTTCACATCGAGCATCCTTCTCTTTCTCGTGATGTGAGTACTTAGTTTCTAATTGATCGAATAAAAAAGTATTTACGTGTCAAAGTTTTAACAAATTTCTTTAATTTGATGAAACGAGTAGAAAACTTCTTCGGTGATATCTAACTTTGATAAACGATTTCGATTTTAATTAGAAAGCTTTTTCGCGCAATGCTTACCTATCCGTAAACGTGTTCTTTGCAGCACTGCAAATGGCAATAGTGTAGAGAAGGATGATAAATATCTAACGTTTCCAGCAAATTTTCTCCTGGGAGCTTCGACAGCCGCATACCAAATCGAAGGAGCTTGGAACGTGAGTGGTAGGTCGGTCAAATTCAAATGTCCTGTCTTGGTATTGTAAACTTTTCTAATCATTTTCCTTCTACTTAAAAAATGTAGATAAAGGAGAAAGCGTTTGGGATCGATTCAGTCATTACAACGATGGTCGTATTATTAACGATGAAACTGGCGACGTCGCTGCGGACTCGTATCATAAATACAAGGAAGACGTAAATATACTAAAGAGACTCGGGGTAAATAAATTTTTTTACGGAATAATATTGTTTCTGGACACAGCGGTAACAGTTGTTATCCATGTATGGAATGCGTGTTTGCGAATACATATTGTTAATTCGATTAGAATAATGCTAGAGGAATCGAAACATGTCTACATATATTGTTTGCCAACAGTTCACGTCGTACAGATTCTCCGTGAGTTGGCCCAGAATATTACCGACAGGATTCGCGAATAATGTTAGTCAAGATGGCGTTAATTATTACCACAATCTCATCGACGAGCTATTGGCAAACGGTATCGAGCCACTGTTGACGTTATGTCACTGGGATCATCCTCAAGTTTTGGAAGACGCGAACGGCTGGTTGAATCCGGAAATGGTCGACTGGTTCGGCGATTTCGCCAGGGTTGTGTACAGAGAGTACGGTGCAAAGGTGAAACGGTTCATCACGATAAACGAGATCGGTGCTTTATGCAAGAATGGTTATTCTTACGGGTTCCATGCTCCCGGGAAAAAACTGCACGGTTTCGGCGAGTATCTTTGCGTTCACAACGCATTGAAAGCTCACGCGAGGGCTTACAGAATTTACGAGAGAGAGTTTAAACCGACGTACAAGGGTCAAGTCGGATTCATGATCAACTCGCATGCCTACATGCCTAAAATTCCGGAGGACGCAGTGTCGGCGGAGATCGCTTTTCTGTTCAACTGTGGCTGGACCTTGCATCCGATTTATTCGGAGAAAGGCGATTATCCAGAAATTATGAAGAACATGGTAGCCGCCAAGAGCAAGCAGCAAGGTTACGCTAAATCTCGTTTACCGGAGTTTGAGCCCGAGTGGATAGAGTACATACGGTAATGCGCAATCATAACAAGTGGAGAATTTACCGAGATCGTATTAAATCGAACATTGTTATGTTTTCTTACGATAGGGGAACTTCCGATTTTATGGCGGTAAATCACTATACTTCGAAACTAGTTGAACCTGGAGAGAGGGGGAAGGTACCTTCCCATGACAACGATCAGGGTGTAAAATTATCCGTGGACGATTCTTGGAAATCCTCAGCCTCCGCGTGGTTGAAAGTAAATATTACAATAATTGCTTTGCTTCTGTCATCGAACATTTAATTATCAATTTGTTCAAAGATTCAAGAAAGAATTTCATAGAAGATGGCAGTTGTATGAAAAACCATGTATAAATTAAAATGGATCGATCGTATTTAGCGATTATACTTCGATAATTAAGGTTATTAATGCTTTTATTATGTATGGTAGGTTGTACCACGAGGTTTCCGATACGTTCTTCGTCAGTTGTCATCAAAATATGGAAATCCACCAATGTACATCACCGAAAATGGTTTCTCGGACTTGGGAACCCTCAACGACACCGATAGAGTCGATTACTATCGCGAATATTTGAAACAGATGCTTCTGGCCATACATGTTGATGGCGTAAACGTGCGAGGATACTATCTATGGTCTCTCCTCGATAATTTTGAGTGGGAACGGGGGTACAGGTATGACTCTACGTTCCTATAAATCACTATAATTTAACACTATACCAGTATCTTATAACGTAATATGTTGGCGTAATATTTGAATTTGTAGCGAACATTTCGGCATCGTGTACGTCGATATCAACGATCCAAATAGAAAACGGACCCTGAAGGAGTCTGCTACCTGGTGGCAGCAGGTTGCAACCAATAAGAGCGTAATCCATAAGTAAGTCATTGTGTTTGATCATTGGCAGGACTCGGATGTATGTATACATATATGTACGTATCGCCTTTCAGAAAAAGAAAATCGTAGAACAGTAATTTTCTCTCTAGTATTATCCATCATTTTTATATAAATTTTGTATTCATCGTCAATGAATAATGTAGAAATTAACCGAGGAACGAAAACGATATATCGTAATAATTTATTTAAACGTTATTTTATTCGGTCAACGATACCTGTTATCGGCGTTAATAGCGTTTAGCGTAATTCTTCCGATTTTCGTTCGTTTTTAAACGGAAAACACGTCCAACGATTTTACGAGAGTTCATTCGTTGGGCGTTCAACCGTTCCACGTTTTAACCCCATCCGTATTGGAAGATCGAATTGGCCGAGGGTGAGATAAGGCGTTAGGTACGAAGGGATAGAGATAAGGGGCGGGGTTGGAGTTGTAAATGCCCGAGTGCCTATCTCGTTTGTACAGCTTCCTATGCAGTCGGCAGACAGCAGAAAAAGAAGTGCTTTGGCGAGCAGAATCTCCTGTAATTATCTGGAGGCATTGTGCGTGTAGCTTCGGGGGATGCTCTCGAAAACGTACGAAACAATCGAATACAGATACGCGACGGCGCGGCGTGGCGCGTCGCGGCGGTGTATACGCCTCTTCTCGAACGGCACGATCATTTATAGGGAAGATACGTTTCATTCGTCGATAGTCTAACCGAGAAATGCCGTGCTTCGTACGAATTAACAAAATTTCAAATCATTCCAAGTTCGTTCAATTCGATTTTAGAAAAGAAAACGTTACGTCGTTCCTATTTTACATAAAATACTGCGACACCACTTCTTTCATTAATCTATGGTATTCTTTTTCGGATATTCCGTGAAGAAATATCAATATTTGCATACTTTTAACAGCAGATTTACACAGAGGAGTGCGTCCACAGCCCTAATTGGTCGCAGAATGGCGCGGAGCGTCGCTTGGAATGAAAATCAGCGAGGCCTAAAGGCGGTCTGGAGATATTCAAGAATCCTTGTTCCCTAGAGTAAATATTACGTGTGTATAATATATGCAGAGAGTCCGGAAATCCGTGCTTTGGAATCCCATGCGAGGGATTAGCCATCCACCAGAGCTGAGTAAATTGGGGGGACACCGGCCCGAGGAAGTGACGCTATATCCGGTTAATTTTATTACCGGTGCTGGTGGAAGGAACGAGTAAACGCTTCGAATGACACGAGGCGCAGGAACGAGGACGACATGGACGGACGGACGGACGAAAATAAAGGGGAATTACGGGGAAAGAAAGTACGTCACGATGAATGGTAGGCGCAAGGGATGAAAAGAGATTGTCGCATTAAATATTTCCCGTATACGCTCGTTAATCTCTTTTGTAACGTTTGCAGACTGGATTTTTTACTTGTCTTTGATATCGCGTAACTGTCTCTCGAAGGAATGCTTTGCTCGGCAAATAAAGTTACGTCACTTTTATCTTTCTTATCGCCTCGACGTTCTCTAACACGGAAGTAAGATATTTAACGCGTTATTTAGATACTACTAATCTAGACTTCCGTGTTTAATGTTATTATACCAGTTCTACTGTATTCGGTTGTTATCCAAATAAGAGGATAGTTAACCGAAATAAGATTTACGTCAGGTAAATATTACGATTGTATGGTTTGCTCATGGTGTTACGAACTTCTTTCCTCACACACATTACACGAAGGTGAGTTATTCCTTTGTTTTTTAGATATACGATAAAATTCTCTTTCTCCCCTCCAAAGTGTCGCATTACGTGTACGAAAACGCCGCGTTACAGAGTTCTGCGGTTCCATAGAAATTCGGAATTTATTATTCTCTTTAAAGTGTAAAGCACCGTGAGAAGTCTTTTCCGTAAGAATCGTTCTCCCCTCGTTATCTCACGAGCCCGTAATAATCGGCGATTCGATAAACGCGAAGAGACAGCATCCACATGGAAAGACAGTCCTTTGTGCCGGTATGAAAAGCTCGGTAAAGTGTGCATCAGAAACCGAAGAACGTCGGAGAACAGAAAGAAAGAGCGGAAAATCCTCGAGACGTCGACGGTGTAATTGTAAAAGTTCGCGGTGACGATGTACGAAACAATAACTGCCGGCAAATCATATGAAACAATGGCGGGGCAGATTGTATCTTCCCTTCCTCGCCCCCATCTTCTTTTCCCTCGGCTTTTCTGTCCCCCGTTACTCGAGCCGGGTTCGACGCGTTTCTGACAAACAGCTTCGCGTCACTATCGTTCTATAACATCGTGATTCTTAAAGGCGTTTGCCTTTGCCGGATCGAAAGGAGCTTGAAACCGTCGGGAATGAAGGAGGCAAAGGGAGATGGCGCGTTATCAAGCTGAGAAACAAAGAAACTCCCTGTAGCATCAGCTCCGAGAACTGAAAGAAAGCACTTGGAGAAAAGGAAATCTCCTCCTCTATCGTTTTCTGATAATCTTCTCGGTACGTCGCGATGAAAAGGGTTTTGATTCCGTCCGATTGTGACCTGGCTGAGACCAGAGGACTGGGAAGTATCGGGAAATGTTAAAGCGACCGGTGATAGTGGAAATTAAATGCTCCTTCTTGTCGAAATTCACACTCTATCGTATCAGTAGTTTACATTTTCGAACAGGCCGAAGACTAGCAGAGCCAAATTTAAATACTTTGGCTGCAATGAAACGATATCGAAACATTGCTTAAAATATATAAATTGAAATTAATTTTTAATATATCGATCTAACGTTAACTGGTCGACTCGTTTTCTGCTTATCGTTGCTTATATGCGTAAGTACGCGAGAAATTTTATGATTAAACCGAGTGCATTTGAAACCGCTATGCACGTAACGATTGTTAAAAATATCACAATGTCCATGTCAAATCGTTGATACCAAGGTACCCAAACCAAGTCTGTATGAAGGTGCTTAGCGCCTTTGTGACGGATCACAAATTCCGTCCACCAAGCAAGGTGCTTCACCAAATCGTAGGGCTGATCCTGAACGAAACTTCGGATTTCAAGCATTCTTTCTTTGTACCTGAAAAAAACAAACAAAATCATCGTAAGAGAGAACTTCTATCATTCGTATTTATAAAAGTTCATTTTGTTGCCTGTATCGTATAGCATTTAATACTGTTATAGTACTTAATTTTTGTTCGTTATGATATCCTGAATAGCAGATTCCAATTCATTCTTCGTCAAAGTCACAAGTTCTAAATATTTCCCAACACCAAGGGCTTCCATCCTCTGCACTTGATAGTCTTGATCCCCTAACACTGGGAACCCTAGTAAAGGTACCGCGAAATGAACAGCCTCTTGACTGCTTTGGACGCCTCCTTGGTACATAAACAGCTTGATATTTGGTTGCGCTGTATCAGAACAGACATTCATTGACAATCACAGATCGTAAACATCCGATAAAAGCTACAGCTGTACCGAGAATAGTTTGTTGAGGGAACCATGTTGCGGTAAAAATATTGTCAGCTTTTCCTGGAAGTTCCTTCTCTATTTTCCACAAGATTGTGTACGGCAACTTGGCGAATACATCCAAAAACATTTCTATAGTTTCGTTAGGCATAGACGAGCTTAGTGCATTGGTACCAAGGTTGAAGTAGATAAAGCCATTTTTTGCGCCTTCTACGAAACGTTTCATGTCCTGCGACCAAAAGTATCGGCATAATTGTACAAGTTTATCCGACGAAGGATGCTGGAATATACCTTTGGTAGTGGAACAGTCTTGTTAGAAATGTGGAACGAAGTGAATGTTAGCAAATTCGGAAGTTTTAGCTTGGCAGGCGTTAGAACTTGGTCATGATTGACAAATATAACGCTGATGTTCTTCATTATGTTTATCAGAGGCGGTATATTGGCTCCGAAATACTTTTCAGCGATCATCTGTTGATAGGGGAACAAGTCACGATAAATTACGTATATGAAGCGCCACAAAGTGTAAAAGTTTTGTATTCTTTTCCAGAATGATAAGTTTGATCCTGTGTTCCTTCCGTTTTCCCAGGTGGATTCATGCGAAGGCAGTATAAGTCCACCTAGTGCGTGCTCCTCGATGGAAGATAACGACAATGAGCTCAAACCTACGATAACGTAAAGCATACTGACTCGAACGAGAGGTGATAGTGTAACAGCAAGGAATACCTATTAGAGGAGCATTAAATCTGTGGGCGAATGCTAATAGCGATGAAACGGTAAATAGTTCCACTATAACCACATCGAAAGTTGCGTTACTGCAAGGATCGTATAGCTCTTTCATCTGTTGATTAGTGAATACGGCCTCTACAAATATCTCGCTAAATTTGCATGCGTTTTCGTGAATAAACTTTAACCAAGGCACCCCTTCGAATCGTTGACGAACGTAATCGTTATCTTTTATGTAACCGTAAGAGTCTTTGATATGGATCTGGGTTATGTTCGTCACGTTTAAGATGGGTATAGGATTCGTAGTGGCGAGCACAATTTCATGACCACGTCTGTTCAATTCCAACCATAATTTTGTGTACGGGATGTGATGACTATAGAAGGGCGTCGGAATTATCACTAGGATCCTTGTACATTCGAGCTTCGTCACGAAACACAGGCCATATACGATCATCGGTATAGTCACGTTAACGAACTTCATGATGCGGCGTTAAAAAGAACCGTTATTAAAATTATCAACGAAACTACCGAAGGTATGAACGATTTGTCTTTACGTTAACAGTAAACTGTAGAGAGAATGACTGATACAATCGTTATCGACGAAAGATTTCCAATTTTTTTTTACATTCTAATTACTTATTATAAATGTAGAATTTCAAATCTATTTCTGTACGATGTTGACCTCGTTAAAATTCACGCGATTATCATAAAATGATTAATGAATGAGACCGTCAATATATTTAGATATATGTGACATTTAAGGAGGGACAATTCTGTAAAAATTAACTACAAAACAATTTATTGCATTTGAAAAAACGATAGGAAAATTGCTATGCGAACAGACGTTTTATTAGTATTTCAAAGGCAAATGTAAAATTTATTTGCCGTATACCTTTGAAATTCGTAATGAACATTGGAACCTAGGTATCGCGTAACGATAACATTTATACATGCATACGTATCGATAGAAATTTGTTTGGCATGCACGTTTCAAATGGTAACCATAATGCACATTGAATTGTTGAATTATGCAAAACTATTCGAGCATATATTATATTATATGTTAAAGCTTTCAAAATTTCAGAATACATGGCACCTGGATCGATTAGAGGGTTGATTTATTTCTTAGATACATAGATTATGACTGTTGTGTGATGAATTTTCCAACTTATTCTTCGTTAAAGTCACAATTTCGAAATACTTCCACATGCCAATAGTGGTCAGGATCGATGATAGGAAGATTCGAATGCGTAGCTGTTTCTTATTTCTCCACTTTGCCTATTCTTTATTTTAAAAACAGAGAGAACGGACATGACGGGAAACCGTTCCTTTCTGGGCATGGAGACCAGTTGGCTTGGCTTTACCAGCCAACACGGAAAGACTTTCAACGTACAAGAATACTTAACGAACAGAGTGATTGAGATACAGCAACGTTGAGAGAATTTTCATCTACTTTACATTCGACTGTTGGTAGTTGAGACCGATGGGATACGGTATTGAATTTTACTAGAAAATGAACATTTTGGTTTCTATATTTTCCTCAGAACGTTATCGGAGTCTTATCGATTAGCATATGCATTTGGAAGTAATAAGTATCGTACTATCTTGAAAAATAATTGAAATCATCGATCTTTTAGAAAATAAGTCTCGAGCATTTACCTTCAGACCAACGAACGAGTATTTTCCAATTTCCAATCATGTACTGCAAAGTTGTGCAAGTGAAAACATAAAATGAAACTAGATTACGACAATAGAATTTTTTTGAAGAAAATTTATGAAAGGACTTTTCTAGAAAATGTTGACAGGTAACGGAACCTTCCTATCAATCGCTCAACTTGAAGAGTAAATGAAATTGAACACTTTGCATTCAAAGTACACTTTGAGCCACAGACATTTTATTTCTGAGATTATTCCATTTAGTTGTTGGGCACATTTGCTTAAGTGAAAACATTGTTTTTTTTATACTTTCATATTACATTTTATACATAGAATACACGTACGTATTGTTGAAGAAATCATTACATTCTGGTTAGTATATTACAAATCAATATACACATAACTATTTCACTGACGTAAATTAATCGTACACTCTTTGATCTGTCGTCAAGTGATTAACTTGTTTTCTGCTTCAGATGTACAGAATTAATTCGTCTTTGTTTACAAGTACGCAAAATTAATTTAATGATAAGTCTGAATGTATATGAAACTAATATGTAGGTTAATATCGTGAAAGATATCACAATGTCCATGTCGTTCCGTTGGTACCAAGGTTGACTGATCACGGTGGAACGAAGATGCGGAGCCCCTTTGTAACGAATCACAAATTCTGTCCACCAAGCAAGGTATTTCGCGTAATCGTATGGCGTGTCTTTAGTGAGATCTCGGAGTTTCAACATGTTCTGTTTGTACCTAGGATAGTCACAGCAAAATTGCCACGAAAAAACAAATATACATATAGCAGATGCCAATAATAAGAAAAGCAGCGTATTGCATTTCTTCAGCCATTTTCTGTTCAAGAATAACATATACTTACTCTTTGTTACTTATGATCTCTCGAATGGCGCTTTCGAACTCATTACTATCCACAGTAGTGATCTCTAAACATTTTCCAACACCGAGTTTTACCATTCTTCTCACTTGATAGTCCTGGTCCGCCATCACCGGAAACCCTAACACAGGTACTGCAAAATGTATAGTTTCCTCGGTACTTTGTATACCTCCTTGGTAGACGAAGAGCTTGATGTTCGGGTGTGCTGTGCAACAAAATTATTAATGCTGTTGGAAATGAAATGTAATTTAACTCACGCGTGTAACAAATAGTATATGCGCGCAAGTCGCTAGAATAAAATAAAAGTATTGATAAATGTAGGTATATGTATGTATAATAGAATGTGAAGAAAGCAATAGACATCCCATCTTTATTGTACCAAGAATAGTTTGTTGAGGAAACCAAGGCGCGGCGAAGACATTATCTGGCTTCTCCGGGAATTCCATTTCGAACTTCCATACCACTCTGTATGGCAACTTGGCGAACACATCGCGGAAAATTCGTATAGTTTCGTTAGGTAGAGACGCGGACCGTACATTGGTGCCGAGGTTGAAGTAAATGAAACCATTTTTCGCGTTGTCCACGAAATGTTTTAAATCCTGCGATCAGAATAAACAATTATCGAGATGTACAGAATAATATCTTTATAGTTGCTAGATGGAATATACCTTCGGCAGGGGTGTCGGGTTCTCCGAAATCTGTAACGTGGAGAACGTGATGTGGTTCTGTGATTTCAATCGAGCGGGCGAAACAAATTCATCGTTGTTGATGAACACGAGGGTGATGTTTCTTATTATTTCGATCAAAGGTGGTATGCTTTTGCCGAAGTATTTCTCGACCATCGAATGCTGACGAGAAATTGTCTCCTGGTAACAGATGTACAAGTGACGCCATAAGCCCACGAAATTTTTCACTCTGTCCCAGAATGTTGGATCCGTTCCGGTATAGACGTTTTCCCATGTAGATTCGTGAGAAGGCAACACAAGCCCACCTAAGATGTACTCTTGAAAAGCGGGTAATCCGAAGGAGCTCAACCCTACGGTCAGATAAAGAATACCAAACTAAAGACACCATCGAACGACGATGTTTTAGAATTTTAAAGTAGACAGACGTATTAAAACGACTAACAAACTTTGGTAAGGATCGTACAAAAATCTAAACTCAAGTTTAATACCTATAAGAGGCGCGTTAAATCGATGAGCGAGTGCACAAGCACCAGGCGTGAAAAGCATCTCTGTCATAACCACGTCGAACGTCGCGTTGCTATTGGGCGAGTACAACTCTTTTGCCATTGGATGTTCAAACGTGTTTTTTAAAAAACCATCACCCAGCACCCGTATGTTTGTTTCTAGAAATGTTAGCCATGATATCCCTTCGTAACGGTAACGAATAAAGTCTAGATCTTTCATCAACTCGTAACTCTTTTCAATATTGATCTGAGTAATATTCGTCACATCCAAATCGCGAATGTAATTCGTGGTGATGAATACAATCTCGTGGCCACGTTTGTTCAGTTCCAGAAATAATCGGTTATACGTGATTTGATGACTGTAGGATGGCGTCGCGATAACTACCAGAATTCTAGCGCATTCAAAACGTTTAAGGATACAAAAAATACACAAAATCGAGATTATGACGAACTTCATATTGATACGACGAAACGAACCGTCACTAAAGTCGATCATAAAACTACTAAAATAAGAGATTGCAATTGCATTACCGATATGATTACCAAGCTGTGGGCGTTATCGCCTAAATTACTATGTGCATACATATTGTTGATTGTCAGAAGTAATATAGAGACAAAATAAATTTTTCAGTCATCGATCCACAGAAAAAAGAAACAGGAATTCGTAACAGGAGAATATAGAAGTTAAATTTTTTCAGAAATATTAATATCAAAAGCATATCAATAGAATATTTTCAGTCCATTACAATGCTACATCATTTACATAATGAATAACTCGGTTGTACATCTTTTATTTTGTTGGAATCCGGGTGATCAAGTAATGCTCTGTTTTTATTATAACAGTTTATTCATTTACGTTGACTTCTTGCGCAACTGAAAGCTGTCTCATTACTACTGTTACACATATGTATACATATTTACCATTGGATAGGAATTTCATTCGGTGATAAAAAAAATAAATCCAAGAGGCAGAATTTCGTTGGCCTTACACGCAAGCTCGACTGCTCGAAATCGATTTTTTGGCAGACGCTAATATCGTCGAACGGACGGGAAATTTAATTTCACGCCGCGAGTGAAATGGCCTCGGCGAAAGGGAGGATATTTCGAAAAGGACGGAGAAAAAGTTGGAGCAGTTTTCACGAACATCAGAAGGAATTTGGTCGTTTCGTGCGAACCGGTATTCCGGTGCGCAGCCTTTTCGAATTCATTTGCCGCTTAAAATTGCGCAGGAAATCTGCGCACGGATCCGCTCCCGGATTGGAAAGCCATTCGCAGCTCGGCTGTGCGATAATTCGACTACTCCATTACGGCGTGTTCCGTCCGTGTACCTTTCAATTCGGTGCACGGTTTCGCGAAAACGGGCGAGAGAACGGAGGGTAGAAAGGGGTTTCGCGATCCCACGCACACGCGACGCGTCGTTTGCCCGCGGGCTCATCAACATGTACGAGACAGTTTCGATAGTTTCAAATAAATACAATTCCGAAAGGAATGTTGCGACTTTGTACCAGTCACCGGCATATGTATAATATAATGCGTTCGATCGATACAACATTGAAACTCTAGACAAACAAATCGATACACGAGATACTTATTTCGTTTATTTGATGTTAATAGCCAGCGGGTGATTAGAGAAATGATTACTTGCAACGTCGTAACTAATTCGTAGCGATGGTTTTGATCCTCGTGGGTCTTATCGAGGAGATCGCCTCGCGAACGACCGATAGAGACAGCTCGATGGGATGACGATGGAAAGACGAGCGGATTAACGGAACGAAAATCGATGGCACGGGGGTTATCAGGATGGGAAGCGTGACAAGGGAGGGGTGTAAAAAGTGTGAGAAAAAGGAACGAGGCTCGAAAGCTCTGTAAGTACCGGTAGTCGAGGAGGCTTCCAGAAGTTAGATCCCAAGGAGCAGAATCGGGTTGAAAAAGTGTTTAGAGTCACGGGTTATGCTCGGCTGCTCTGGCAAATGAGATTGAGTGAAAACTCCTAGCGAACCATTCCAACCAATCCACCCGCTGGAATGTATCACTTCGGCGTAGACGCGCGTGATTAATGGCTTTCCCATGGAAAAGAATCTCGTTTACGTTGGGAGAAAAGTACCACGAAGCCCCAAGGTACCGGGTTACAATTGATTCAACCTATTCGAATGTGTGTTTTCCTTCAGTCAGCGGAAGACTTTCGTCAGAAAGCGCAACAACTTGTTCCGAGAGGTGGAAAATCGCAACATATCAACGCGTTCTTGACAGTTTAATTCGCATTGCTCTTCTTCTGGTCGGGGGTATCGTTACTGTTGCGAACGTTACGACCATTCCTCGTTTTACATTTTATGTATGAAATTCTCGTTATCTTGTTGACAAGTTTGATGGGATATTGATTTTTGGTATTTCAAGTTTTTCGAGTTTCAATTTCCTGAACAGCACCGAATTACATGCGCTTGAAACGTTTACGTAGCTTCGAATGAACCAGTAAAACTAAAAAGCGATTTTAAAATGCTCAAAAGTCTTTTACTTTCTCCATAATATTTTCATTTACGCCGTTAGCGATTCTGCAGGTTCTTTGCTGTATCCAGTGAACCCCGTAACACACCGTATAAGAAGAATCTGTTCTGATAGCAAGTCCCAGCGAAGACCCGAGTCCCGGATCGTCGCGTTAAAAAATTTACGAGATATCTTCCGTTGCAATATTAATCCCTCAATTTCGTAGACGCGGCGCAGAGCCGTGGCCAAGTACTACGCAACTCAATTATCAGCGTAGCGCAACGCCAAAAAGTCTTCGCCTCGTCATTGATCAAATAAAAGTTTCACGCGCAAAAACGGTTGATAAAGAGGCAACGGCGGCCTTAGGAAAAGACTGGAGCGAGATGCGCCGACGGGGGCTGAGGATAAAATAAGTCGAAACCGGGCGTGCATCCGTACACAAGAAGCCGGCTGAAACAGCGAAGGGATCAAAGTATTGGTGAACATGATAGAGGAGCGTGTCCCGGAGAAGCAGAGAGCCAAGGCTAGCTCGTTGCTCACTCAAGAGACGAAGATGAATGGCATCAGCTTGAATCCCGACAGAATCCATCCACCTCCGACTTACCAGCCTGCAGGAGTCATCTTCTTCTTCTTCTACTCTTCTCCTTCCTCGCTCGTTACGATTAACTTCACCTGGGAATTTTCAGTTCGATTTTTGCTAGCCACATCGAGCGATCATTCCACGAATTAAGATAACATGTTTCGACGAGGCTCGCGTACGCGTTAAACTTGTCTTGTCAAACTTGCAGGAAAAGTAATTTATAAACTCCTAAATCCAGTACACCCTGCTGCATTTACCGTTCGTTTCACTACTCTCTACCTTGCACCGTTTACAAATTTTTAAACTGGAAATCACTTGAGATCAATTTAAAGCGAAAGGTCTGAGAAGACTGCACGGGAACGCAAACATTGAAAATATTTAAATAAAATTAGGAATTGTGAAATAGCTCGCATACGCGATACGCCGAGATTTTCGTAAAATGCCTTCGAATTGGATTCGTTCGACATTTTCCAGCGAAAGTATGTCCGAGCGAACTATCAGAAAGAATTTCTCTGGAACGCTTCCCTGGAATTTACTTGGAGGAAAAATTGGAAAGATGTTCAGTTGATCGGGGAATGCAAATCTCGGGGGCTTTTAATTAGCTGCCCGTCCCCGTTTAAATGCAGCCTAACTTGTTCCGCGACAGGTTCTGAGATTCAAGTCGAAATTGAATTTCGCCCAAGAATGAGAAGAGTTCTTCGTGAAATCGAATGAGGGGCCAGATCTCCTGACACCTCGTTAGTTGGAAAATTTCATTGAATATCAACTACGACGAGAACGTTCGCCCTCGATGTCACGTTATCTTCCCCCGTAAAAAATGGCACAATTTATATTAATATAATCCCAAGTTACCCAACTGCTGTCGATTCTACGAAATCGTATTTTTTTTTTTTTGTTCGTTTAAAATACCCTCGTAGAAAAATGTCTAGTTAGCCGATGGAAAGCCACAGGGTAGAGAATTTTTTAACGTACAGCCGAAAGACCATAAAATTTCCTCTATTTTCCGTGATGTTTGAAATCTGTTGCCTTACAGTTTTATACCATTTTTATTTATATTTAATTTATATTTCAAACGTGTCTTGCTAACTGTTTTCTAAATGTATAATGTGATACGTTCATCCGCAGACCTGGATACACCGTGATACATCTAGCAACCATGCATGATATGTAGCCGAAATGAACCAATCCTTCCGCGTCTCATAAAGACTGATGGCAGTATAAAAAGATTTGAGAGGCAAAAGTGCAGCTTTTTATCGCGGAAAACTACCCCAATGTGGGATCTCTGTCAAATAAGTTTAGTGTCTTGCCCGTGTGTAGCGAGAGTCGAGCAGATTTCTGAAAATGGCGCGGGGAAGGGATGCCGGATAACAAGGAGGAACAGAGTCGTATATGGTCTACGACAACATGATCGAAGAGAAACGAGATGATTCTCGAGGGAGACGCTCGGTCGAATCAGTTTCCGCTGCCTTTTATTATATTGCCCTTCACCGCAACGGCAAATACGATAATATTCTTGATTGTCTAGGGTTTCCGAAGGAGATTTTTCATTGTTTATTCAATATTCTTGAAAGCTCGCCAAAGTAAAACTTATTTTCCCAGTAAGTGACGTTTTCTGTAATTTCGAAAGATTTTCAAAGCAAAATAGTACGGTCACTCTTGCAGAATTTGAAGTTTTCAAAGCCTTTGAGGATTTAGCTCCAAAGTAGCGCAAATTATTTATGCTTCTCTCAGTTATAGTATGGGAACACGATTAAAATGATGTATTCCAAACGTTAATTGTTTCACATTTTTATTGTACATATTATAACTATGGAGAGTCATATAACCAGGTGATTTAAATGTCGCATTAATAAATTTAATTAACTCCACTGTATTTGTTCGATAAAATTAAATAATACACGGTTCCCTTATCAGGTTAATTAATATGTTCAAACAAATAACAGTTTATCCGAATAACTGTTTATCGAATACATGTTACAAATAAATTGTTGCACAGAGTTTCTATACTTTATCTATTATTAAAACAACATTCTGTACCTTTTGCCTTGTTCTTGCAATTACCGTTAATATCATCTTGTAGACCGTCGGTAAAAATAGTATCTAATCGCGAGATTCCACTTACAGCACTTTAAACGAGCTGAGATCGATACCTCGAGAGATACGGTGATGCCCACCGGGCCGGTTTCCTCAGAATCCAATCAAGCTTTAAGGGGTTTCGACGTGACAATTCCGGAGATTGTACCATGGTAATTTCAATTCGTCGCTTCAAATCCTCGATCGTAACGAATCTTCGCGTTTAATTGTTAATCGTGTCGATATCGTGTCAGAATCTCATTTTACATGGAACAGAGCGAATGTTCCATCAACTGTTCGCTTGATAATCATGAAAATACGCACCAACTTCGACATTACGTA